ACAGAAATAATGATGGTGTTTGTTCTTCAACACCCTTGTGAGCGACTGACAATGTTGCAGAAGTTCGGAAGTATTTGTAAAAAGATAAACCAGACTGTTTAGTATCTGACATTCAGAGTTTGTATTAGGAATCTGAAACAGAGTACACACCCAATGCTTTAATGTCAATGATATAGCACCTGCGGGTACTTTACTCTATACTATAAAAAATAGGTTTTTTACCGAACGCTCAGAAAGGATTCGGAGATGTCAAAAGGCGACTAAATGCGTCCAAAGGCTGTAAAAACTATCCTTTAGGTTTATGAAACCTTTAAAGGTTCCTACCGTATGTCTGCGGGAAGAAGCTTCTTCTGCGCAACCTTTGTTTTAAGCTCCGCACAGCAGAAAATGGTTTCTTAGGAAAAAAACGAAACCTTACAGTTTCATTTCAAATCTAATGGTTTCGTACTGAAAACCTTACGACACTCTAAAGGTTTTGTATTCTTCTACGAAACCCTTTTCTGTTGTGCGGAACTTTAAAAAAGGTTTCTCAGGAGAAGCTTCTTCCCGTAGATACACGAGAAGAATCTTGAAAGGTTTCGTAAACCTAAAGAATCGTTTTTTCAGCCGTTGGGCGCATTTGGTCGCCTTTTGACATCTCCGAAACCTTTTCTGAGCGTTCGATAAAAAACCTATTTTTTTAGAGTATAAGGAACGAAATGCCTCAAAGTACCATTATAGCCTAGAAGGTTTTAGAAACCAAAAGAGAAAGTTATCCAGATCGAAGATTCCACACTATAAATATCCGTATCCGAGGAAATCCAAAAAACAGGGTTTCCGAACATTTTTTGCGGGAGGAGTTTCCGAGCCGATTTCGGAAATCCTTAAAGGATTTTTCAAGTTGAAAATAGGTTTCGGACCTTCGGAAATTCTTCGAGAGTTTCAGATAGTTTCATTCCCGGCAACCTTAAAGGATTTCAGATTTCCGAAAACGGTTTGCTTTTTTTCGAAAACCATTCAAAGATTCCCAGATTGAAACTTTATGCAACTCTCGAAGGATTTTTGAAGATCGAAAACCTATTTTCAAGTTGAAGAAAACCTTTAAGAGTTTCCGGGTGGGGTGTGGGTGTGGGGTGTGGGTGTAGGGTGTGGGTGTGGAGAGTGGGTGTGGGTGTGGGGTAGATGCGGATATAGGGTGGCGGTGGATGTGGGTGTGGGTATGGGTGGGTGTGGGGGTGGATGTGGGTGTGGGTGTGCGGGTGTGGGTATGGGGCGGGTGGGTGTGGCGGCTGTGAGTGGATCCAGCTTTGATCCTTGTCTTCACGCATATCAACGCCCACACCCACGCCCACACACCCACACTCACCCACACCCACACCCCTCACCCCACCCAAATCCCTCACCCCACCCACAACCACACCCACATCCACATTCACACTCACACCCCACACCCACACTCTCTTTGGGAAGCTCCATAAAGTAGGGCTTGCGAACCGATGGATACCCCTATGGAATAGCGCTTGT